TTCAACTTTTAGAAGTGGGTTGAAGTAGTGTTGGCACTTGCTGGCTGCTGCCGTTCACCGGAGCTCGGTGGACATCTCCATCATCTTCCACGGAGACGTCATGTTTGAGTCCTCTCCAGCTGCCGGCACTGCGAGCAGCTCGGTTCCCGTCTCCACACTGTCCTCCCCTCCCTCTTTCACTGGCCGTGGGGCTCCACCAAATTCTTCTTGGCCGGGAATTTCCCATGGCGAGTTTTGAGCCGGAGGTGGGTTTCCAGGGAAAACCTGAGGGATGTTCACGTCTTGTGTTATAGGTGTGCAAAGATGAAACCACCCAACATCTGCTGTAAGGGACAGGCCCGCTGTTCCCATAACACGGGAGTTTCACATGTGGCTTGTTGCTGGAGCACATGCTGGGACTTGATAGTCTAGCCGAGACTCAGACTGGGAAAAAATTCAACCCTCTGTAGAGGATTGGCGTGGCTGTCTGAAGTACCTATTTTGAGGGCTACAGGAGGGATTTGAAAGGTGTTTTGCACATTGAGCCGGAGTTTTATCCACTGCTGATTGCTTTCTTGTGGTCCATTCTCACGGACATGTAGAGACTAAGGCACGGGGTTGTTGTGTGCATGGCTGCGCGGGCTGCTCTGGTGAGCTCCTGCTTGGCCAAGCCATGGAGTTTGGCTTGTTAATATTTGAGCAGAGCCTCGGGTGGAGGATGGGGGGAGCTTGCTGGTGGGATGCTCAGACCTTGCTTTGAAGGTGGAAGAGTGGGGGCCTCTGCAGCCACTGATGGCTCGGCTCGAGCTGCTGCCCCAGCCCACGCTACCATCTCCTTGTTCTTGTCTCCTCCTCGGTGGAGCTAAGGAAATGATCTGCAAATGTGTGTGTTAATGAACATCCCCCCCCTCGAGCTGAATCGCTCCGCGTTTCCTTCGCTCCAGCTTGCCGTTTCCTTCGCTCCAGCTTGCCGCCAGCGTTTCGCAGCAAGACGCCTGGGGAGGGCCAAGCCACTTCCCACCATCTGCTCTCCTGTCCTTTGGTAGCACGGGGATACAGCGGGGGACGGGGACAAACGTGTCACCTGAATCCAAACCCGCGAAGTCAGAGAGCGGGCTGTGCAGCTCCATGTCTCTCCCGACTGTAACCCCATCTACACCTAAACACAGTTCCATCAGAGACCCCCAGGCACCCCAGAGAGTGGTTTTTTTTTCAAATCAAATCTGCCAGCTCTGAGATTTTGGCACCACTCAAGCCATGAAGTTCCCAGACCCCCTTTCTACCTTTGCTCAACATTATATTCTGCATCTTGGTAATCTGGGGAAATAAACTGCTTTTGGTGAACACCCTGGACACCCCCCCACTGCCTGGAAACCCCATGCAGGTCCCAGCTTCGGAAGCCACATCAGGTTACACACTCCTAGAAGGAAGAGCGGGGTCTGTTTGGTCTTTAAATGTTTGAATGCAGAAAGCATGTCTTTAAATCATAGCTTTGAGGGCCTGAGCTCCAGTGCGGCACACACTGTTTCGCTGTCTGCAGTCCAAGGAAACACCCAAAACTTCCAGTATGCTTCTTATTACTGGCCTAAAGTGTCAAATTCATGTCGGCTCTTCCAGCTGGGAAGTGTTCAATGGGATCATTTGTTTGATATGCTGATACAGATCTTGTTATTACATCAGGATCGTAGGTGATCTGTCAGTGTTTACATCATGTCATGTTCAATATCGGAGTTAACTGATTCAGAAACCCGATCCAGCGTTAAAATCCCTGCTCCGTTGACAGAAAGTGCCTAAGGTCAGTAGCTGCCATCATTTTATAGTACTAAGGACTGTCATTTCCATAAATATTGACCTGCAAGCCAGTGCTGGCACAGCTGGAAATGCAGTGTGAAATCTCCAACCCAACAGCGGGTTTCGTGCCCCAAAATTCACAGGTCGGGGTGATTAAGACTTCTCACACAGATTTCTTAGGATGAGGACTGCAGCTGTTTGAAGTCGATTGAAAAATCCACCCACTGGCTTCAGGAGGCTTTGAGTCAGTCCTTGGGTTAAGCTAGAAACCACCTTCCTCTTCTCTAAGGTATGAGCTATTGTTCACTTGACGGCATTGGTTTCCTCTCCGTGACAGCTGTGGGTAGATGGGGAAGGGCTTTTAATGAAGCCAACCGCTGCAGAAATTAAAAAGCTCAGGTTGTACTGATGAAAGAAACCCATTAATAGCGATTCTCTCTTGCGTGACAAAGTCTGACGTCCCTAGCTCTAAGTGACAAGTGGCAGGAAGTCCTGGGGAGACAGCCTGTACCAAGGAGGGTTGGCAGTCCAAGTTGGTGGTTTTTAACTCATTCGCTGCCTGGTTTCAGATGGTTTAGCACTGCCGGGTCCCACCCATGGAGATGGGATGGGATATAAACCAGAGAGGGTCTAGGAGAGCTGGGAAGGGTCTTGACCCCACCGCAGCTCCCCTCTGGGCTTTCACTCCTAAATGAGCCTCAGTGTTTGCCTTGACTCGTATTTGCATCAAGTTTTCTACATTCTTTTTATCAGGATAGTTTTAGGTTTTTGGGGTTTTTGCTGGTAATTGCTGGGTCTCCCCACAAACCAGCCCCTTTTAGAGGGTGTAAGTACAACACTGCTATTTACTTGAGGCTTAAAAACCCCACGGGGCTGCGCCCGCGCTCAGACAGTGTGGGGACTGGAGCAACCACAGTGCAGCATGATGCAGCCACATGAAGCCCTTGGTTAAGTCGTACGGCTGAATAATCTTTAAAAACATTATCAGCATAGAGATCACTTGATTTATTTTTCAGGATTTTCTCCGTCACATGCCAGATACTACCGCAGGATAGGGTTTCAGCTGAGATAAAGGCAGAGAATTTAATTTCCATTAAATTTCTGTGGAACTTGGTCTTTGAAGTCCTTTTGGCTTCTCTGCTAATCTCTACTTCAGAAAACTGGTTAGAGGAAAAACATAAACCTATTTTTCTTCTTCCGCGCTCAAATGTATACTGAAATAATAAAATGTGGACCAAAACAAGACACCTCACTGCACATGCTTTTCCCCTTGGGGAAAGCACAAACACCATGTGACAGATGCTGCTCACGTCTCTGAAGGCCCTCAGATAACGCGGAGATGCCCCAAGGTCTAGGGACACACAGAGATTAGAAGAGATTGTCTAGGGTGTTGATTTGAGGTTTCTTCGGTTTACTTCACACAGCAGGGAAAATACATTTTCAAAATACCACTGGGTTTTGCTTTCAGCTGGGAGCTCGTCCTTACCAAGTTTTGCTCTCTGGCGTCAGCACGTTTTCGTTCGGTTTGGACTTTAACACACGCGGGAGCCTGGGGAATATAGAGTTGGGGGGGGGATGGTGGGGTTCACTCAGTTGTGGAGCTCCCAGGGGAGGGTCAAAGCCCCTCAGAATCTGTGGCTGGGGGCGGTTTGCTGTTGGGACACCCGTGGAGTGCCGCCATGGCGGGGAGCTAAACTGGGAGCGTGAGATCCCCTCCGGAGTCGATGCTCTCCCCTCCCGTCCGAGCTATCCGGCGTCTCCGCAGACAGCCTGGCAAGTGCAGCCTGAGCTCGAGGAGCCAAGCAAATGCGAGATCAGAAGATATCAGACATCAGATTTAAAGAGGGGGAAGTCTGGGGACTTTCTGTGACTTTGCTATAAATTGACACCAAGCTCACGCTACGCAGATGTGAGAGCGGAAGGGAAGGGGGGTGCGAGCAAGAGGTGGCTGCATCTTTCGCCTTTTAAACGCGTCACTTTTCTTCTTAAAAGCCACTGAGAACCGAGCTTGACTTGATGGATGTTGGGCCGTAGGGCTGGATCTGATAAGGCCCAGCTCTCAGAAGAGCTGCAGAAGGGTTTCTTCCCAGCTCCTCTCCTATCGCCCCGACGTGCCTGCACACCTCCAGTGCCCCCGAGCTCTGCTCTCGATTACGCCGGGATAAGGTGTTTGCCACCTTGGGAAGGTCCTTTCATGGCAGGTGCAAAGAGCTGGGGGTGTTGCACGGCCGTCTGGCTCCAGCAGGTAAAGAGCAAGGAGAGTCCAAGGTCTGAACCCGGCACTGATGTAAAACTGAAGCAGCTCCGGCTTCTCTGGAGTCCCTCCAGCTTTGTGCGGGTGTAACTGAGACTGGAATCTGGCCCAGAGAGAGTGAAGCCGTTTGGCGATGATTAATATAGTAAAATGCGAAAGTTATGTATCAAGTGTATTTCATGCGCCTCTCGCCTCGGGACAATTAGCATAAATTTAATAATTATTGCCCTGTGCCAGCAGCTGCTACCTAAGGAGCTGGGAGTGCTTTACAAATGCTCATTAGTTGCTACCCTGCCTAGAGGAGGTAGGTGAATAGTCTCCCCATTTTATGGGTAGGGAAAGAGGAACAGAAAGAAGCAAAGTGAGATGGCCAAGGTGCGGTACCAGGGCGGGCTGTTCCTGCCCCTCCTCCTGTGCTTTCTCCAGCCCCTCTTGGCTCTGACCCCGTTGGGTGAGCAGAGCTGGGGAGGGGGCTGGAATAAGATGAGAGTTTATTCTTTGTTCACTGAGCAAACGCCGTAGAAAATATTTAAATTTCAGTGTTTCCTTTCCTGGTTCCCCGATCACCACCCTGCCAGGAGATGGGGTTTCTCCTGCCTCGCACGTGTCTCCCCTCATTGTTCGGAGCGAGCGAGGGCTGGTGTAGGCTGGTCGCTCGGGCACGGCACGGGGCATCCCAACCGCTGCTCCTTAATCGGATGCTGACTCGCCGGACAATCTGGAGCCTTCCACGTGGGTCAGTTCTGTGTCTCTTCTTTGGTGGGTTTCATCTGCCTGAACCGTGAGGCCTTCCCGCATGCGTGGGCTGCGCAAAGCCCCCCGGGAAGCCGATCTCTGCTGGGGCTGCTGCACATTACCCGTCTGTGAACAGTAGCAAACCGCGAAGATACGGAGGCTGCGTCGATTTTGTGTGTAACCAGGGTGCTCTAGCCAAAGAGTAACTGATTAGATATCAGACTCTCTTATCATGTTCCAGGGCACAGACAAAAGCTAGAAGACCAAGCCAAACCCTTCACCGACCGCTACGGGGAGCTGGAACGGCTGCGCCAGTCCATGAGAGTCACCCCAACAACACCCAACCCCCGCGGATCCCTCAGCACCCCAAGCCACTTTGGGTCCCAGGCTCAAACTCCAATACAAGGTAACTGGCCGGGTGCCCCAGCCTGGCGTCACCCCCCGAACCCTCGCTGCCGACACGGCCGGGCAGGGAGCGGAGCCATCCCGGCCGAGCCAGCTTCCTCGGGATTGTATTTAGGGCTGGACTCCAGCTCTCCCCAGGGTAAGGAGCCCTGTCTGGGGGACAAGCTAGGGAGGGGTTTGGTTGGGTTTCTTGACCCTGGAAGCCTTTTTGCACCCATTAAATCAGCAGATCGCTGCTGAATCTTAAACCCAGGTGATTTCGCTCTGTGCACCATTAGATATGGGCGTTTAGGAAGAACTGAGCAGTTTCAGCAGGAACATGAGGGAGATCAGAGCAATACACTTTAAATCCAGTAGCTCAGTAGCTTCTTTGACATGAAGGCACCCGCGTAGACGGTTAAGCATCAACTAGAAAGGGTGTATTATACTTTACATGCTAATCCAAATGGTTTCTTATCTTGTTGCATTGTGTTTATGCCAAGTCTGGTGATCCATCACCCAGCTCCAGCATAATTCCCCACACGTATGCACACCTGCATGGGTGCACGCGTGCGCACACACACACACACACAGAGCCTTCGCTCTTCCCATATTTGCCCTCAGCATAGCTGAGCCCTCGGGCATTCCCCGCGAATCTGCATCATTATCTTGTTGCCAGGAAAGAGTTAGGAATTGCCACCAGTTACCCGAGAGAGGCCAGTCTGTTAATTCCCGTGCGCCTGAATTTCAGCTCCAAACAGAGCGTTGCATTTGAAAATATCCAGCTGCCTCGTTGCTCCCGGCTTTCAGCACTTCTCAGCTCTTCTCAGCTCAGCCAGATGCCATCAGGATGTATTAAGAGAGACCGTTCTCCTGTCTGCATGGGAGACGTGCTCTTTTTCCATGAATTTTTAATCTTGGTGGTGTTTTCCCTTGAAAATCAGTAGAACTACTAATGGAGATTTAAGGGATAGTATTTAAACTGTTTGCATTTTGAGTTATGGTGGAAAATGGCCCTTCTTGGAAGGTTTCATATGAAAAGTTCCAAAAGCCTTTGTGTTGCATTTTCAGAAGTGACGTAGATGTTTGAAAACCTCAGTGTCATTGGCAAAGAGGGTGTCTCAGGCACAGAAACATGTTTGAAAACGTTACCCGAACTGTAAAAGCTCCCCCGCTCCTCCCAACCCAAAATTACAGTGAAAATTTAATTTATTTCTCATTGAAATGCAAATATTTATGCTTGGAATTTTCATTGATATTAACACGGTTTATGAGAGGAACCCGGGCATTTTGTGTAGGATTATCGTTTGATTTTTGTTAAAAAAAGGCAAGAAGGAGAGAGAGAAAGACTTTTATAGGCTCGTCCCATTGGCTACATAATAAAGAAAAAGATTCTTGGGGGAAGAAAAAAAAAGATGCGTATTTTAAATTAGCACAGTCCCCTGCAGTGCCAGAAACCCGAAGAGCGTCGTTTGGAGCAAAGAATCAGGTGATGACACAAATTCAACAAGAAAAAAAATGAAACTGGCCACAAGCTACCGCCCGTGCCAAATTCCCAAATGTCAAGTGACAGCAGGAGTGGAGACACACAAAATTAGCCATTTAAAATCATTCCTGCGGAGTGAATCCAAAGTACCAGGAATGCTGCAAAAGGCAGTTCGTGCACACTCTGCTCTTGGCTCCCTTGTTCCTAAGTTGGAGGAACCGTCTTAAAATTACTGTGGGTTCTTACCAGCGTAACTGGCAGCAGAATCGGATCAGTAATTTTAATCTCAGCCCTGTCCTTTTGACACAACGCTGACTATAACCAATCATAATAATAATAATAAAAAAAGCCCCCACCTCTTTCACACACACACACGGCTTATTCACAAAGATCATAATTTTTACCCCAGCAAGTGGAGCCTGGCCCGTGCCAAGAATAACACAGGAGTTAACAGGCCCGTAATTCTCACGACTTGGCACGTTCTTAGGTAACACACACAAGAAGCCGATTAGCAAAAAGCATAACGAGATATCGGTTAGGAGGGACGAACGGGGCAGGCTGGAGTTCATCCGGCCCTCAATTACTCTTTACCTGGGTTCTTCCCAACCTTAATGTTTTTAGCATCCCTGCATCCCTGTGCGGGGATTAAAAGGGGGCCAGCGCGAGGCAGAAAGGCAGGTCTTGCCTCCATGATCACCTACGCCCAGCAGCCTTCAGCTCATGTGCTGGAGGTTGGTTGGCCTCCTGGTTCTGCTGACCCAGCAGTTTGTACAAACACTTCCTAATCCCCTTCTGGCAAAACCAGGCTGGGGAGCCGAGATGCTCAGAAACAGCCTCAGCCACCGCGGGGGGATTCAGGTGCCTCAGATCGCTGGACACAGCACAGGCACGTAGGAGACAACGTTTATCTTTGGGAGGAACTGGGGTCCTTTGGGGATGTGTTTGCTCTGGCCCAGTCCAAGCTTTCTTCCTGGAGAGTGAAGGCTGTGGCCGTGGTGGAGATCACAGCAAGGACGCTGGTGTAAATCGGAGAAGAATCTGGCCCTCGGCTGTTTGCAGTAGACTTTCAGTAAAGCAGCCCCATGAGGTTATAAATAGCCCCCATGTAAAATGATCATCCTGAGGTTAAATGGTCTCAAACCAAAAACCTCCCGGTAAGAGAAAACCGATCGTTTCTGAAGGGCATGCCAGGAAACATGGGAGGAGAGTGTGCTCAGCACCGTGGCCGAGCGGGTCAGATCCTGCTCTCAGACTGGTTTCCCGCTGCCCAGTGTCAGTGAATTCCAGTGGCTTCAGTCTTGCTTTACCCTGTGCAGACGGGCAACCAATCCCTTTCCATGTCTGCCTGCAAACGGGACAGACATTTGCATCCCTCCACACACCAGATTTCATTCCCTTTTGCACTGCTTTGGGGGGAAAATAGGGTAATTCTGGGTTCACCCTGTGATCTGTGAGGAGAGTCTGACCCAGTAGCCAGGCAGGTAGGACGGGCAGACCCTCATGTAGCATCAGCTGGTGCTCTGGCTTCAGCAGAGCGGAGCTATTTGCCCCCACTGAGGATTTGGCCCAATACTTCTCCAGTGAGGTCTGGAAAATCTGAGGTTTTGAAATCCCAGCTCTCCCATCTCCACAGTGAGACACGAAGCTGTCATTAGGATGGCTTGAAATGGTTCCTTATTACGGGGCACGCGAAGCCAGAGCCTTGCGTGCTTTGCTTCTTTTCAAGTTTTGTCTTCTAGCTTAAAAAAAAAAATAAAAATCATCAAGTAGCTCTCAAAAAGTGAAGCAAGATGTTAAAGGAACTTGCTTCTGCCCGCCTTCAGCTGCTTCTCGAGGCGCCCTTGCTCTGGGGAAGTGGGATGGTGACAGACACGCGTCCTCCCGGGGAGAACCAGGATGGTCCTAGCAGCTCCCAGTCCTCCACACGACGCTTTGCCCTTGCCCGTGTTCCAGCAGTGGCTCATACTGAACTATTTTATTCCCATTACGACAGAGGAGGACCGCCCATGCAGCCGGCTCCTCTCTTCTAGCTTTGTAGTGGAAACATTTTCAGCCACTCAAAAGCAATTGTGTGTGCATTGTCCGGCAACATGTAGGGGCCCCGTGTACACAAGGACAATTGCAAAGTGATTTTAAATTTGATCGGCTCAGTAACGGAGCGAGCTGTTTTGATTAATGCACTTAACATCCCCTTGCACACTCTTCACACTGCTCCAGTGAAACCAAATTCCCTTGACTTCACAGCAAGAACAGTAAACGCTGGATCCTTTTGCAAACTTCATCCTGCCTCTCCCTGCCTTAGTGTCTGCTGAACGGTTTGGGAGACACCGTCTTTGCTGGTGAAGAGCTTTCGTATCTCCTGCTCTGGAACCACCTCAGCTTTAACCAGCTTGATTTCCAATCCATTGCTTGAAGCCAGTGCAATGTTTTTATCGTGGGCCAGTCATCAGCAGAATGCTTGACCATATGCATTTAAAGTCAACTCTCTCTCTCTTTTTCTTTTTAAATATACATTTTTAAAGGATTACATTACTTTTAAGAAGCCTCTTGGCATAGGCAGTGAGTGCCCTATTGTTTCCGAAATGCAACGTGGCTGCTCTGAGGTTAAGTCCTGAATTATGGGCCCAGCAAATACACTGAATTGCTGCTTCCTAATCCCTGTCCAGATCGACTTATGGTTTCTTTAAAATATCCGTTTCTTAATGGATAAAAACATTCTACCATGGGCAGAGGCTAAATTGTTTCCAAAGGAAGCTAGGCAAGCATTAGTGGGAAGAAAACATATTGTGGGATTCAGCTTCAGCCTCAAAGGAAGGAACACGCTTAAGATGGGTTTCCTGCCTGCTTTCAGGCTCCGCAGGCTTCTGTGCCTATCTTTAAACTGCTTTTCTGCTCCTCTCAATTACAACTGCCCGCTGCGCAGTGGATGTCCCTTAAACGAATCTGGCGTGTAACCGTCAAAGACGAACCACAGGCCAGTGCTGGACGGGAGCTTCCCCCAAGAGAGAGGCCAAGCACCCGCCACCGCTGCTTCTGCCGCTGCCGTGCAGCCGCCTTGTCTCCCAGCCTCAGCGCAGGGTGCCGAGGAGCGGCACTTCCACAAATAGCAGACGAGCGACGTAGCAGATCAATGAGCCCGGCTGAATTTCCCTCAGGCTCCAGGGATGCCATGTGCCTTTGACAGGGGATTTTTGCTCTGCTGGGATCCTCACGGAACCTCCAGGCTGGGGTCCCACTGCAGGAGGGCACTGCCAGGCTGCCGGGCTGTGGTGCAGAGCAGGGCTGGAGCCCCCTCTCCTATCGCCCCAGCAGCTGCCCCTATCAGCCTGCTGCTCCGCAGTGGGTTTCCCATGGCAGACTTGGCCTGGTCCAAACCTGCTCAGCAGGCAAGGTGGTCTAGCTTCAGGCGGGGTTGTAAATTCAGCAACTTCCTTTTATGTAGTCAGGGCTTGTTAATTTTTTTTAATACCCTTTGAATACAGGTGAAGAGCAAAGCGCAGGCAGGCCAGAGGGAGTGTCTGCAATCAAGGGAGCGT